TCCACTACTGGCTTACCATAGCCCGTGCTACTTGCCCCGCTCCTGTGCCAGGTAAGTCCACTACGGGCTCACCATAGCCCGTGCTACTTGCCCCGCTCCTGTGCCAGGTAAGTCCACTACGGGCTCACCATAGCCCGTGCTACTTGCCCCGCTCCTGTGCCAGGTAAGTCCACTACGGGCTCACCATAGCCCGTGCTACTTGGAACTTGTTCCGAGTAGCTGAACCTATAACAACAACAACCTAACCTCATCAAATTGCCTCACCTTTATAGACGCGCTAAGATTCAAATGCTCGAATTCAGAATACACACTCACCTGAAACGGCAAAGAAATGCCAATTAAAGACATGAATAGACCTAAAAAAATCCAAATAATTCACTCTAAATACCATCTATTGAGAGAAATACACCAGACGGAGAAGGATACAATTCACATCGAATACAAGACGGCATGCCAATGTATTTTAAACCTACCTAACCTACCCTAAACTTACCCTAACCTAACCCAAGCCAGGGTTAAGTTAGGTCAATCAACAGTAATGAGAATAACGATATTATGTTTTATATACCGGTAATAATTCTATTGTAAAGCTTATATAATATTTTTATTAACTTTGTTTTTCCCACCTACTTTGTCTATCTAAATTTACCAATTGATTTGAATTCTCACACTAAATTCATAAGAATTTTAACTTGGTTAATTTTTGTTTAAAAGGTCATGATGATTTCACAATAATTCATTTGTTCAATGCCTGATTTCTCTGTACAATACAGTAGTTGTTATTTCTCTGTACAATACAGTAGTTGTTATTTCTCTGTACAATACAGTAGTTGTTATTTCTCTGTACAATACAGTAGTTGTTATTTCTCTGTACAATACAGTAGTTGTTATTTCTCTCTGCAATACAGCAGTTGTCATTTCTCAGTACAATACAGTAGTTGTTATTTCTCTGTACAATACAGTAGTTGTTATTTCTCTGTACAATACAGTAGTTGTTATTTCTCTGTACAATACAGTAGTTGTTATTTCTCTGTACAATACAGTAGTTGTTATTTCTCTGTACAATACAGTAGTTGTTATTTCTCTGTACAATACAGTAGTTGTTATTTCTCTGTACAATACAGAGATATCATTTCTCTGTATCAACAGAGATACAGTTGTCATTTCTCTCTGCAATACAGCAGTTGTAATTTCTCTCTGCAATACAGCAGTTGTAATTTCTCTCTACAATACAGCAGTTGTCATTTCTCTCTACAATACAGCAGTTGTAATTTCTCTCTGCAATACAGCAGTTGTCATTTCTCTCTACAATACAGCAGTTGTCATTTCTCTCTGCAATACAGCAGTTGTCATTTCTCTCTACAATACAGCAGTTGTAATTTCTCTCTGCAATACAGCAGTTGTCATTTCTCTCTACAATACAGCAGTTGTCATTTCTCTCTGCAATACAGCAGTTGTCATTTCTCTCTACAATACAGCAGTTGTCATTTCTCTCTACAATACAGCAGTTGTCATTTCTCTCTGCAATACAGCAGTTGTCATTTCTCTCTGCAATACAGCAGTTGTCATTTCTCTCTACAATACAGCAGTTGTCATTTCTCTCTGCAATACAGCAGTTGTCATTTCTCTCTACAATACAGCAGTTGTCATTTCTCTCTACAATACAGCAGTTGTCATTTCTCTCTGCAATACAGCAGTTGTCATTTCTCTCTACAATACAGCAGTTGTCATTTCTCAGTACAATACAGCAGTTGTCATTTCTCTCTGCAATACAGCAGTTGTCATTTCTCTCTACAATACAGCAGTTGTCATTTCTCTCTGCAATACAGCAGTTGTCATTTCTCTCTACAATACAGCAGTTGTAATTTCTCTCTGCAATACAGCAGTTGTCATTTCTCTCTACAATACAGCAGTTGTAATTTCTCTCTGCAATACAGCAGTTGTCATTTCTCTCTGCAATACAGCAGTTGTCATTTCTCTCTACAATACAGCAGTTGTCATTTCTCAGTACAATACAGCAGTTGTCATTTCTCTCTGCAATACAGCAGTTGTCATTTCTCTCTGCAATACAGCAGTTGTCATTTCTCTCTACAATACAGCAGTTGTCATTTCTCAGTACAATACAGCAGTTGTCATTTCTCTCTGCAATACAGCAGTTGTCATTTCTCAGTACAATACAGCAGTTGTAATTTCTCTCTGCAATACAGCAGTTGTCATTTCTCTCTACAATACAGCAGTTGTAATTTCTCTCTGCAATACAGCAGTTGTCATTTCTCTCTGCAATACAGCAGTTGTCATTTCTCTCTACAATACAGCAGTTGTCATTTCTCAGTACAATACAGCAGTTGTCATTTCTCTCTGCAATACAGCAGTTGTCATTTCTCTCTGCAATACAGCAGTTGTCATTTCTCTCTACAATACAGCAGTTGTCATTTCTCAGTACAATACAGCAGTTGTCATTTCTCTCTGCAATACAGCAGTTGTCATTTCTCAGTACAATACAGCAGTTGTCATTTCTCTCTGCAATACAGCAGTTGTCATTTCTCTCTACAATACAGCAGTTGTCATTTCTCAGTACAATACAGCAGTTGTCATTTCTCTCTGCAATACAGCAGTTGTCATTTCTCAGTACAATACAGCAGTTGTCATTTCTCTCTGCAATACAGTTGTCATTTCAATTTAAAAAATGTGTAACATTGTTGGCTGCAGTGTTTGGTGTTATAATTATTAAATAATTTTATTAGGCAAATTGAAATTGTAATTGCCATAGTAATATGTTTGATGAAATCCGGCTGGTGGGTAGGTAAGCAGAACCAAAATGAGTACAATTATAAGCCTCGCTATAAGCCTATAGCCGAGACGGATGGCTTGGAAATACCATCTTTGTTTCAGTCTCTTATTCTTTATTATTACTGAAATACTTGTCAGTGTTTTGTTTCTTTACTTAATTTTATTTGATATCGCTCTACTTAATAAAATTATAAGTTAAAATATTCAACACGGCAAAGAAGTTAAATATTAAATTATTTTTTATGGTGAGTCCAGGGTTTTGCATGCCAGAAAAAAAATAATTGGCATGCCAATTTTGGCACGCGTGCCAAGGGTAGCTCACACCCGTGCCCTAGGATGTCTCACGCCTAGTGGAGACTGGCCTTCCTGTTTCCCCAACCCGTTCTCGCAAATTTAATAAGTCAATATTGACTTATTAAATATGTGCATAGGTGACATACTTAACATAATAGATACCCTTAAAAAGATTCATAGAAAACACTGACCTTACCTAACCTACTTAGTATGTTAAGATAAGCATCTTATTGCTTCGTAATTACAATTATTACCTAACTTATAATAGGTATAGGTTAAGTAATAATTGTAATTACGAAGCAATAAGATGCTTATCTTAAGATACTAACAAGGTTAGGTAAGGTCGGTGTTTTCTATGAATCTTTTTAAGGGTATCTATTATGTTTAGTGTTTCCCCTACGTCACTCACTTCCCCCCTCTCTCACTCCCTCTACCTCCCTCTCCCTTGTCTCTCTTTCCCATCCCCTCCCACATCACCATCCCCCTTCCCTCCCACCAAACACTATGGGTGTTTTCACTCCCTAACTCCCGCCAAAATTTACTCACAATTTCCGTGACACAAGCGACCCAAAGTTTGTTACCTCATCATATTGTTCTTAGTCTGGGAAAATGTTATTACATTAAGGGAGGACGGAGTAGGGAATACTTGGCTGTGTGGGGAATACTTGGCTGTGTGGGGAATACTTGGCTGTGTGGGGAATACTTGGCTGTGTGGGGAATACTTGGCTGTGTGGGGAATACTTGGCTGTGTGGGGGATACTTGGCTGTGTGGGGAATACTTGGCTGTGTGGGGGATACTTGGCTGTGTGGGGAATACTTGGCTGTGTGGGGAATACTTGGCTGTGTGGGGAATACTTGGCTGTGTGGGGGATACTTGGCTGTGTGGGGAATACTTGGCTGTGTGGGGGATACTTGGCTGTGTGGGGAATACTTGGCTGTGTGGGGAATACTTGGCTGTGTGGGGAATACTTGGCTGTGTGGGGAATACTTGGCTGTGTGGGGAATACTTGGCTGTGTGGGGGAATACTTGGCTGTGTGGGGAATACTTGGCTGTGTGGGGAATACTTGGCTGTGTGAGGAATACTTGGCTGTGTGAGGAATACTTGGCTGTGTGGGGAATACTTGGCTGTGTGAGGAATACTTGGCTGTGCGAGGAATACTTGGCTGTGTGGGGAATACTTGGCTGTGTGAGGAATACTTGGCTGTGTGGGGAATACTTGGCTGTGTGGGGAATACTTGGCTGTGTGAGGAATACTTGGCTGCGTGGGGAATCTTTGACCTAGTTGTAGTAACAAGTATATACCAGATGGTTCGAGAGGTCTCCCTAAGGGTAGTTACGTATGTCGGCCACGCTCTTGTGTTCCGGACAGGACTTCAATGGGGACTCGAAGTGCGAGAGATAAGAGGACTTCGATGTTCCCTGGCTGTGTACAGTTCCCGGACGCTTAGCCTAAATACACCTTGAATTCAGGGCAGATTCAGAATTCAGATGGAAGGAACTGGGGTGTGGGTGAGAGTAGAAATGGGAATGATGGACGAATTGGGTGGAATAACCATGAAATGGGACGGAAAGTCTTATGATGAAGCGGTGGAATGGGGGAATCTGGGAGAGTGGAATGGAAGAGAGCTGAGAACTGAGTTAAATAGGAAGTGGGATGGGAAAGGCGAGATGAGAAGGGAAGCTGAATGGGGTAGTGATGGAATATATGTTGAGGAAAAGAGCATGAATAGGGTGGAAAAGAGCAAGGAGAAAAGATTAGCACGAGAAGGGATATTCTCATGGGGGGTTCCCATTAAAGGGAATGACCTCACCCACTGTTGCTCACACCTTCGCCTCTCCTGCCAACACTGGTGAATGTGACACCAATAGTGGTGGCGGTGGTGGCAGAAGAAGCAGCGGTCATTATGATGTGTCAATGGTGGCAGAATCAGAAGTGACAACAGCCAGTGTCAGTAGTGATGATAGTATTAGCAGGCATAATAGCAAGAGAGGTGTCAAAGGTGACGCCAGTTCCAGTACCGACCCCAGCATGAGAGGTGTCAAAGGTGGTGCCAGTACCGACCACAGCATGAAAGGTGTCAAAGGTGGTGCCAGAAGCGATCACAGCATGAGAGGTGTCAAAGGTGGTACCAGAAGCGACCCCAGCATGAGAGGTGTCAAAGGTGGTGCCAGAAGCGATCACAGCATGAGAGGTGTCAAAGGTGGTACCAGAAGCGACCCCAGCATGAGAGGTGTCAAAGGTGGTGCCAGAAGCGATCACAGCATGAGAGGTGTCAAAGGTGGTACCAGAAGCGACCCCAGCATGAGAGGTGTCAAAGGTGACGCCAGTTCCAGTACCGACCCCAGCAAGAGAGGTGTCAAAGGTGGTGCCAGTACCGACCCCAGCAAGAGAGGTGTCAAAGGTGGTGCCAGTACCGACCCCAGCAAGAGAGGTGTCAAAGGTGGTGCCAGTAGCGACCCCAGCATGAGAGGTGTCAAAGGTGGTGCCAGTAGCGACCCCAGCATGAGAGGTGTCAAAGGTGGTGCCAGTAGCGACCCCAGCATGAGAGGTGTCAAAGGTGACGCCAGTTCCAGTAGCGACCCCAGCATGAGAGGTGTCAAAGGTGGTGCCAGTAGCGACCCCAGCATGAGAGGTGTCAAAGGTGGTGCCAGTAGCGACCCCAGCATGAGAGGTGTCAAAGGTGACGCCAGTTCCAGTACCGACCCCAGCAAGAGAGGTGTCAAAGGTGGTGCCAGTACCGACCCCAGCAAGAGAGGTGTCAAAGGTGGTGCCAGAAGCGACCACAGCATGAGAGGTGTCAAAGGTGGTGCCAGTAGCGACCCCAGCATGAGAGGTGTCAAAGGTGGTGCCAGTAGCGACCCCAGCATGAGAGGTGTCAAAGGTGGTGCCAGTAGCGACCCCAGCATGAGAGGTGTCAAAGGTGACGCCAGTTCCAGTAGCGACCCCAGCATGAGAGGTGTCAAAGGTGGTGCCAGTAGCGACCCCAGCATGAGAGGTGTCAAAGGTGGTGCCAGTAGCAACCCCAGCATGAGAGGTGTCAAAGGTGACGCCAGTTCCGACCCCAGCATGAGAGGTGTCAAAGGTGGTGCCAGTAGCGACCCCAGCATGAGAGGTGTCAAAGGTGGTGCCAGTAGCGACCCCAGCATGAGAGGTGTCAAAGGTGGTGCCAGAAGCGACCCCAGCATGAGAGGTGTCAAAGGTGGTGCCAGTAGCGACCCCAGCATGAGAGGTGTCAAAGGTGGTGCCAGAAGCGACCCCAGCATGAGAGGTGTCAAAGGTGGTGCCAGAAGCGACCCCAGCATGAGAGGTGTCAAAGGTGGTGCCAGTAGCGACCCCAGCATGAGAGGTGTCAAAGGTGGTGCCAGAAGCGACCCCAGCATGAGAGGTGTCAAAGGTGGTGCCAGTAGCGACCCCAGCATGGGGTGTATCACAGGAAGTGGCAAACAACAGCATATAAACAAGGGATCTTTGTCAGTTTCCAAACTTTAACATGCTAATTTCGCAGGGAGAATATTTTACACGGCTTCCAAGCCAGCTCACGCTGGAAAGATAAATTTGGTCATAATTATCACACCATGCAAACTGCCTACACAGTAAATATATACCCCGGCTTGACCACCATCCATCCACACACACACACACACACACACAAGAACAGGGGGGTGACTGGGGGTTCGGGCTCCCTTGACTCTGAAAGACTATTGGACGGCAGATAACACTGCAGTTGCAACCTGCCCCCACTGCAGCAACAGCAGCCCCCCCCCCTTACCCCAACACACACAACCTCCCCCCTCCCCTTCCCCCCTTCCCCCCCTTCCACCCCACCAGGGTTACTGACCTGCCACGCCTCTAACCCTCACCACGCCCTGCACTAGTGCAACCCCCCCAACCCCCCAACCTCCTCCTCCTCTCAACTAATACATCATATTATTTACGTAATCGACCTCACCGTCAAAACTGTGGGGGTTTTAGTATTAATAAAAGCATCGCAATACTGACGATTCCTAAGCATCGATAAGTTAAGCCAGTTGACCATTTTTAGACGTTTCCGTTTAGGTAAAAACAGTTCTATTTTGTACGGAGCGGCGTATTGAGGAAACGTTCTGGTTCATTACGTTCTCGCTTCACATACTGTGTCACGCACGAGCTTTTGTGGAAACCTACTGAAGAGTACCAGCACATACCAGAGGAGAGTACCACTGACTTGAAGAGTACCATCACTGGTATCCCACACGACAATACGATCACTGGTAAAGTCAACACAATTTTCAGTTCTACATCCCCCCAAAAAAAGACATGAAATATATGTAAAAAAAGCGCAAGATTTTGCACGGAGACATGTAGGAAACTCTTCTAAACATTCCATTACGTATTACTAATGGTCCTGCGCCGTTTATATTACTACACTATGGGCGATGCAGCTTTAAATCTGACATAATTTTACTATCGTCAATATTACTCTTGCACAGATCAACAAGATGGTCGCAGTTCCTTAGAGCAGAGTGACGACACAAGCGGCAAGACAAGTGCTCCTTCCAGCTCTGATCTTTGATGTCAACAGCTGTGACCACTGAATTAAGAGAGGTATAGTTCTTGAAGTTACTTGCATTGATATGTTTCCTGCATTGAGCGTGATTTTTCAAGTCTTGACAGTTTCCTTTTTAACTTCGTGTTGCAGTACTTGCAGTGTGATCTTGTAAGGTCGTCTGCAACAACCAGATCCTTGAGACGTTGGTCTTGCAACCACTCCTTTCTGAGTTTTTTATCGTACTCCTTAACTTTTCGCCTATGTAAAAAAAGGGTTATAACCTTTAAATAAGTTAATAATAATATTCACTAACATAAACTATAACAACAAAGCACTATTATCAGTTTATATAAAAACGTTCTCACTGTATACTGGCACTGTCAGGTGCCAGTATACAGAAGAATCTTCTGCAAGGCACTAGAGACTCATTAGAATTGTCACATAGAACACTTAAAACTATTGAGAAATGCCTAAGCATCAACAAGGATTCGCCCAAGTGTATTCCTGGCAGGTTAATTTATTAAGAGTATATCTAAGTGCAGGCGATGAGTCACAATAACGTGGCTGAAGTATGTTGACCAGACCACACACTAGAAAATGAAGAGACAACGACGTTTCGGTCCGTCCTGGACCATTCACAATCGACTTGAGAATGGTCCAGGACGGACCGAAACATCGTCGTCCCTTCACCTTCTAGTGTGCGGATTGGTCAATATATTTAAGTGAGTAAGCTACAACCCAAATGCGAATATCACCACAAAAATCTATATTTGCCAATAAATCTAATTTCGATCCAGAAAGGACTGGAGTATGAATGGCACAAGTCCCATCCCCTGGGCCAATAAAGACCTCAAGATGTGACCTCAATAAAACACGCTGATGCCAATAAAACTCTTGAGATGAGAGTGGTCAATAGAGGGCCATAACTCGGGTCATTACAGGGCACTAAAGCGGTTGGCACCTGTGATCAACGAGGCTATTACATCTGGCCATCAGTGTCACCCACCAACTCCTCACCCCTAATACGTGCCATTTTTTTTAACGCAAGTGACCAATCCGTTATAAATACGACGTATTAATACAAATCAAAGCCACATAATATCAACGTTTTCTTTGCCTGGGCCTCGATGGGTTAGGTGGGTTGCTAGGGTTAGTACGGTTCTGGTTCGGCGAAGCCTTTGTACAGAGTGTCAGATCAAGAACGCAAGCTACACGGTAAGGAGGAAGGTGGGGGCTAGGGAGCTATAACTCAACCCAGCAAACACCAGGAAAGACCGTGTTCGTAAATGCACAAACGCTGCAAAATGCTAATGCAACACACACAGGTATGACAATTATAATAAACCCAAATTGAAAATGTCGATGTGGAAATTAAATTGACAAATATTGGTGGGGGCAGCAGCAGGTATGGGAGGGGTAGGGGGTGGAGCGACACGTTGGTTGCTAATGGCACCACTAACGAGCCAACAACAGCCATCACCACCGCAACAACGGCGCTCCAATGGTCAGGCAAATGTCCTAGAGGCAGGCGACCTGACCGCCACCAACGGGTCCCATTAAGAAGGTGGTGGGGGGAGGGGGGGAGGAGGATATGGGGATGATGGGGAGGGGGGGAACTAGGATGGGGGGACTAGGATGGGGGTCTAGGATGGGGGGTCTAGGATGGGGTGGGACAAGGATGGGGGGGACTAAGATGGGGGGAGGGGAAGATCTAGAGGGGCTAGGATGTTGGGGATGTGGGGAGTAGGATGTATAGGGGAAAGAAGATGGAAGGAGGAGAGGTGCGTGTCTGAATGAGTATGTGCCCGAGTACGTAAGTGAATCCAGTGAGCACGTGAGTGAGGGCCTGAGCACACAGCTACGCACCTGGTTGCATACCAGAGCACGGAGATGCGTGCTCACGTTCACGCCTAAACAAGTACACAACAAAAATGACCAACTCTGCCAACAAACACACAATGAGGCGGCAAGAAAAACACCCAGAAAGTTGGACATAAAAATGATGACAAAATCACCAACAAACTTAGAAATGTTTTTGGAACAAAATACAGCCCAGGCGGCAGAGATACGACCACCACCACCACCACCACCAGCAACAGCGATGGTTCACTCTTGTTCTAATCAAATATAACTAATATATTAAACATTGAAGAAACGTAGTGGGAATATGATCACGACATACAAGATATTGATGGGAATAGACAAGGTGACCAAGTACATTCTCTATAAATTGAAGGAACGTAAGAGCTAGGGGACATCTACATATCACCATTGCACTAAGATATATGAGTGACATATAGATGTTCTGTATTGATAAACTGGGACAACCCCTGGAGTACAGAAGAAATACAGGGAGACATGATTACAACATACAAGATACTAGAACGGTATAGACAAAGCAGACAAGGGCTGACTCCATAAACTGAAGGAAGGCATAAGTGAAAGCTGGAAACGCAAATGAGTCTAAGAAATATAAGGAGATAGCATACAATGTGCGGGTGGAATACACTGAAAGGATAAAGGCAGCGCCTGGGATGCTCTCGGACGTAGGTTCGAATCCCCGTCACGGCCCTTGTGGATTTGTACACTGAAAAGAGTTATGGAAGCCACCTCACCACTACCTCTGGTACGCTTCACACACACACACACACACACACACACACACACACACACACACACACACACACACACACACACACACACACACACACACAAGGGGAACACGCACAAGGGGACACAGGTGGAAACTGAGTGCCCAAATGAGCCACAGAGATATCAGAAAGAACTTTTTTAGTGTCAGAGTGGTTGACAAATGGAATGCATTAGGAAGTGATGTGGTGGAGGCTGACTCCATACACAGTTTCAAGTGTAGATATGATAGAGCCCGATAGGCTCAGGAATCTGTACACCTGTTGATTGACGGTTGAGAGGCGGGACCAAAGAGCCAGAGTTCAACCCCGCAAACACAACTAGGTGAGTACTAGGTGAGTACACACACACACACACACACCTTTCACTTGTCATAGTTACCCGATAGCTTCATGACATTGAGAAAAAACACACAGGTTGCCCGAGCGACCGCTGCGAGGGTGGGAGGAGACGAAGGCTACATGCAGCCAAAAAAAAAGAAACTTTACAATGCATTGTGTCCCTGGGAGGGGGGGAAGGCGGTTGGGCCACCTCACCCGACTGCGCTGATCAAGATAAGGCAAGAAAGCCACCAAAACAATAAAAACAATAACATCTGTCAGCCGGTCCACTAATGTCATGCGTGCTGCATCTGTCAGCTGATCCAGTGATGGGCGTGCTTCTGTCAGCTGATCCATTGATGGGCGTGCTTCTGTCAGCTGATCCAGTGATGGGCGTGCTTCTGTCAGCTGATCCATTGATGGGCGTGCATCTGTCAGCTGATCCATTGATGGGCGTGCTTCTGTCAGCTGATCCATTGATGGGCGTGCATCTGTCAGCTGATCCAGTGATGGACGTGCATCTGTCAGCTGATCCAGTGATGGACGTGCATCTGTCAGCTGATCCATTGATGGGCGTGCATCTGTCAGCTGATCCAGTGATGGGCGTGCATCTGTCAGCTGATCCAGTGATGGACGTGCATCTGTCAGCTGCACGTGCAGCAGTCTGCGGAGTCAATAGCACAGGTGCCTGCAGCTGTCGGCTAATTATGTGGGTGTGATTGAGCTTCCGCACAATGGCTTTTGTTTTATCGACATTATTCCCAGACATGGAATGTATTTCAGCCTGAATGGAATCTTGGAATTGATACTGAGAACAATGTTAACATTCTTTCCTCACGTCTGCGTCTTATTCTTCTCCTCTCTCTCTCAAGCCAGACTTTCAACAGCTGTTCGTCCCAGACCATGTCTGTGAGGTCTTGGAGCATACCTGGTGAGGGTCTCGAGGGTTCGTCCACTCCCTGAGCCTGTTCTACCGTCCGGGACGAGTTTTC